CGCACCGCCTTCCCCAGGCCCCGCGCCCCTCCGGCTCCTGCGCTCGGGAGCCCCGCGGTGGCGTTCAGCGGGGTGACGGGGCCTCCGCGCTGTCCTGCCGGGCTCTGCGGGGCCTCGGCGAAAGCCTCTCCCGAGACCCCGCGGGCTGGCAGCGCGGAGCGGCCCCGCGGCTTTGCGCCCGTTCCGCAGCGCCTGTTGGGCTTACCTGTAGCTTCACACCAGAGGTACCTGTAGCAAAGAAACACGGCAGCGCAGTCCTCCGGATCGCGCTGTGTGCCCTGCCTCCCGCATTCCGCTCTCGAACTAGAGACGGTCAGGAGCACCGGTGCTTTCCGTCTGCCTTGGACAGCCCTGAACCTGTTTAGTGTGCCTGACAAATAAGCCATGCGTAGGTATCCACATTTTCACCACCTCCTCCACGTGTTCTGGTAAGCAAACCGAAGTTTGGGGATTTGGATTTCCCTATTTCTACTCTGCGGGCCAGTTCTGCAAGGGCCCGTATCTTCAATCACAGGTCCCACTTCTACACGGAGGTTGCAAAATAGAAGATGTTATCAGGACTGATGTAGCTGCTCCCATTTGCTACCCCAAAGGACAAGGCCTGCAACATCACTGGAATAGTTTACTCCTACAGAACCCTACAGAAACAACCCAGGATTCTTTTTTTTTTACCTTCTTTTTTTTTCTTTTTTTCTTTTTTTTTCCTTTTTCCGTCTTTCCTCTCATTTGCTTTCCCCTCCACCCGTGCCCACCCCGGGTGGGTATGTAACTTTCTGGTTGTACCAGTTTGCTCAGCTGTGAAGAGCAGGCATGCTGACATTTACAACTATTCTGCTGCCTTGTAAACCTCTCCTCACTGCCTACCCTTTGCTGGAAACAGGGCAGAAGGCTTTAGTGGAAAGGGGCTGCCACACATATGCCAAAGTTTCGAAACTTTGCCAGGGCAGGCCAAATTCTCCATTTTTGTGCTTAACTGTTCCTTTAATATATATTTTAAATCAAGAAATACAGTCCACAGTTATAAATTTAAGCATAGGTTCATGCAGGCTTATTAGAACAAAATTTAAGGTGTCAACATTTACTCTAAAAGCACTGGCAAACATTAAATTCATTAGTTAGTGTCTGGATGACTTACTGAGCATTATTGTTTTGGTTAAGACGATATTTTTTAATGTTGCCATTTCTACCCAAAATCACTAGTCCAGTCAGGCAGCCGACTGTCTCTGTACTAAAGCAAGACCACAGGAATAACCTTATTATTGTCTTGACAAGGATCCTCAGGAAAAACCCACAACATTTCGAGTGAAAGGGACAGTGTATTTTCCCATGTCAATGACAGTATAGACGATGTCCTTCCTGGAAGGTTCCTTCCTTTATAAACTAGTCTGGAAAGAGAAAGAATCAGGAGAAGTGTAAGTGTGCAGAGAGTGTGGCCGGCAGTACTTGTCTCTGATTTCTGTGCTGCCAGGTTCACATCACTGCTGCGCTCCAGCTGCTTATTTCCATGAGCCCTTTTTTGTTCCCAGAAGAGCTGCCTTCCCGCAGCTCAGCCCCCGCCGCAACTGCTGCATCTTCTCTCCTTGCCCTCATTCACGTTGCACAAGAGCTGCAGCTCTTGCTTTGAAGGAAAACTGAATGACCAGACCAGTTGTGCTCCAGACTCCCTCAAGATCTTCTTCAGCAAGAACCCTCCCCAGCCCTTCCTGCTTTCTC